TTTTTCTACAAACACCTGCTCTGTGCATGACGGGGCAGTGCCCCAACTCCCCAATCAGCCCTGCTCTGAGCCCGACCAGGGGCTGTACCTAGGGATTGGGCGTGCCCTCTGCCACCCGGGAGCAGGCCTAAGCCAGCAGGTCGTTATCTCCTGAGAGGTCCCAGACTGCAAGAGAGCACAGGCCGGGCTGAGGGACCCCCCTTCCCCCGAATGCACAAATTTTTGTGCACCGGGCCTCTAGTATTAAATAAAGTACAATGTAGTCTCTTGCAAAATGGCCCAGATAACTCTACTGTTTAGTTCTAATGCAAGCTTTAGCCAGTTTTTTCTTTCCTCTGTTGCTGTCAGTCTTTGACCTTCGCAGTTCTCACTGGTATGAGTGTACCTACCTCTCTTCCATCTAATACTCATGTTTCATGTGTTAGAAAAAATGGGTAGTTCAGATAAATAGATAAATTGGGTCAGATTAAGTCATGCCATGAGTTTTTCGGATCTATTCCTGAGTTCCTGTCTATGTTTTGGCTAGGTAAGATTGCTAAATAAGTACTTCAATTAAAAAAAAAATTGGGTATTTCCATGATACTAAGTTAGGAAATTCCATCTCTTAAAGATAAACATCTCTTTCAGAAGGTTGCATTTCTCAAGGATCAGGGCATCACTGCTACTTTCAGCTGGCTTCTTGCCTTGGGTTCCAATTAGGTCCATAGCTCATTTTGCCTAACTAGGCATTCAGGATCTTGCCCGATCTGCCTGAGGGTGGAATAAGATGAAGATGGGAAAATAGTGTGTAACATCACTTTTGGAAGAAGTATATTATTGCTAATAATCTAACACCACTTTGTTCTAGCCTGCTAAGTAGTGTTATGGGGCCAGATAAATTTAGCAATGACAGTTTTCCTCTGACTTGTTTCCATGACAGAGTATGGGACATTTTTAGCTCAGCTGAATTAAGTAAGCTCTATAGTAAAGGGACATTCTAGAATGGAATTTTCCCACTCAGATGGTATCGTAATCACCCACTTGTGGAATATAGAAAACAAAACATTTTAGTATATGTTCTGCTGAAGCTAGCACAACAAAACTTTTAAAACTGATTAACTTCTTTGGGATATTTGGGCAAAGATAAAAATAATTTGATTAGACCATTTCTTTATTTGACGCAGTCACATGAAACTCATGAACTCTTGGTAGGATCTGACCCAACTGTCAAGTGAAAAAAAATAACAAAGCAAACAAATTGGAAAAAGATTTGTATTTGCCTTGGGGAAGCTTTTAGTCAGTTTCAGAGACAGGGCACACACAGCAAAACAACCCTAGCTTCCTGTAGGTTCACTCATGTCTCCTTCCTGAGAGTAAGGTGGAGGGATGGGATGAGTTGACAGAAACACCCCTGTTCTTGTGGTAAAGGTTTCTGACTGACATTTACTTACTTAGCTTGTGCCAGCACTCCAATGACTTCTGCATACAGGTCTGCCACAATGTGCATATTACCAGTGTTAGGACCAAGGTACCTAAATAAAATACAATTAGACACATTAGGGGTCCCTGGTCATCTAAAACTTGATTTAGTTTTAGCACCCAATCTTGTCAAAATTCTAAAGTGAGAAATTACTTTACCCTTCTTTGTATTTAAAGTGCTTGAAAGCCAAGTTAATAACGTCATGTATTAAACTGTCTAATACAGGATGAAGTGGAATCTGGAAAAAAAAAAAAGAGATGGCTCTTAATTTGAAGGGAATATTAAAGATCAAATCAATAAGAGTATTTCCAATAACTGTATATGGACTTTAGCAATTAATAAATATAATTCATATGACTCAGTACTTGAAATTCAAAAACAATTAAAAACTTAAGTAGCTTTCAGATAGGTAAATCATACATAAAAGTAACATTAAAATACTGACCTGTTTTAAAACTTCTATTAATACTAAAGAAAAAATAAAATCAATGGCGAGGTCCCGTCTTTCCATTAAATAATCTCGCTGCTGTTCATCACTGTAAAATTTTAAAAAGTCACATTAATTGGCATTGAAGATATTGTGAGTGATATAATTCATTAAAAACTGAGGACTCATCCCAATGGGCTGCAAGCCATTTTTGATATTACACGATTGCAGTGGTAAATACAGTATTTGCTGAAGCAAACACTGAACAGTGAACAAACACTGAATCAGAATATTTGACTGCAAATTTTACATTTTCAACCATGCCAACTTGAGTAGCTATTTGTGAATCTATAACCCCATCTTGTCAGCTTTTCTAAGGTATGTTTCAACCCAGGAATTCTATCATCTGTAAAGTGGACACAAACACAAGACAGAGTTACCATACTAGAGGTGTACAGTGAAAGCATCTTGTGAAAGGAGCTAAATAATGTAAGGACATAACATGATTAGCAATTGGAACCGAACTATAGGGGTGAAGAAAGGATCAGCATTTATTTTTTTTTTTTTGCCCTGTCCCATTCTTCTTGACCTTTGTCCCTTGATATTTATGAAAAGAGGAAAGAAGAAGTGAGACGGTATTGGAAGAAAGAGACTGAAAAACAGATGGAAAAAGAGGTAAAAGAGGCAAAGTGGAGTTATTTGAACTCATTCCAAAGTTGGGGAGCAAAACTAGCACTGCCAGAAGGATGGAAATATAAGTCTCTCCCATATCTTATGCTTATTTAACATACTGACTGAGGACTACTTTCGATTAAACAAAGAAAGAAAAATGAAATGATTGCTGAGTTCCCTGGCAGAGAAGCAAGAATAGTGGCTAAGAGCATTGGCTTTGGTGTGAACCAGTCCTGAGTTAAAATTATGCTTCTTCTACTTATCAGTAATGTCCCTATCTATGAATGGAAATAATAATAGCAATCATATAAAGGTTTACTTGAGTACTAAATAAGATAAAGCAGTTTACTCTCTCGAACACACAATTGCACAATACTTGTATCTATATATATAAAAAGCTAAGCGACCAGCTGGTAAATATGATGCGCACTGACCACCAGGGGGCAGATGCTCAACACAGGAGCTGCCGAGCAACAGCAACTTCGCAGAGTGCCCCCTTGCACTCTGGACACCCTGGAGGATGTCAGGCTGCCGGTTTCAGCCCAATCCCTACAGGCCAGGCTGAGGGACCACACCTGCCAGAAAGACCCCGCTCACTCTTGCAGACACCCTTCGAGCCCTGGCGCCGCACCAGGTGAGGCAGGCCAGGGAGGGACTGCAGGAGGTTGGCTCCAGGGCATGTCTGGCTCCTCTTGCCCAGTCCCACCCCACCGGCCACGTTCTAATTAATTTCCTTTCAATGTGTACCAATTCGTGCACTGGGCCTCTAATATTAAATAAAGCAATGAGAAAGAATGGCAGGATTTGGACTTGTCAGGCATATTTTCAAAACAAGTCAAGAATATTTTAAATATGAAAATTTTTTGTCTTTAGTCCAGAGGAAATGAGCAGAAAGGAAGATGATATTTAAGCTGTAAAAAATAACTTCTGGAGGAGCTCTGTAACCATCAACAAGTCAAATTAAGGCTGGTGGATGACAGGATGGGTTAACAAGGGAAGCTGCAGCCTTGACTTTCAAGGGGAAATGTAGTGACAGGGTCAGAACTCCTTCATTCAGGATCATTTATGAACAGTCCTGCCAGAAGGAGGAGAAGTGAACTGAACAGAACCATCTATCAGAAGCCCTTCAAGACCCACCAGAAGAAGAAAGTGCTACTGCCAGTTGGGAAAGAAGAAAATATGTGGAAATACATTTAAAAAGAGGGCATTCACACATCTAACCTAGAGATTATATCATGGAATATGGGAACAAGAAGCTTAATGACCAAATGGAAGGAGAACTCCCAAAGATGGCCAGCAGTAGTAGAGAGAAAATGTTTGTGTTGGATGGCTCATCAGGGTCTTCAAAAGGGGCCAGAGGACCTTGAGAAAGTAGCAGTTCTTGGTAGAAAAATATTTTTTAAACTCTTAAGTCTTTTTTATTTATTAAGCCCATGATACTTTCAAATAAAAGTAAGACATATACTTTTCCAATAATGAATTCAACTTTATTGCTTGTTTGAGGTCTAACTTTCAGGAGCCAGAGGCATTTGACAAATTTATTTGGCAGTCAAAATGTTGATATTATATTAATCCTAGAAAACATAACCCAAATACACACTTGTCACATTTGACTGTTTTCAGTTGTTCATGCTTCTCCTGAAAGCTCCTCTTTTCTTTTTTTTTTAGTACGAGAAACTCACATTATTGGTTGTATTATGCTTTGGAGACCCTGATTCTGTTGGCTTTCTCCCAAACACATACACGCCCTTTCTTGTTTAAACTTTCAAATGCTACTGAGTTGAATTTTGCTGTCCTGATTTTGTATTTGATCCCTGTGATTACTTTGATCTCCTGAAAATAATCAGTAACATGATAAAAAAAAACAACCTATTATTTTCAATCTATAAAGCAATCAATTAATGAAAAATCTAATTTTAGTAACTAAGTTCTGACAAAATCAAGGAACAAAACTAAAACTCACTAAAGTCAACTCAACAAAATCATCCCACTTCCTACCTCCAGAAAGTTTTAATAATGTCTCTTCATAATCTAACAGGTAATGTGAGAAATATAATAAAATGATACCATTAATTTAATAACCACACAGTCTCAATTTTCAGACACAAGAATTGAATTTCTACCTGTAAAATTTGATACATTAAAAAAGTATTTATGAAGAGATATTGCTAATTGGTATGGAGTTCCTTTATGGGACAGTGAAAATGTTCTGCAATTAGACAGTGGTGGTGGTTGCATAACCTCATGGATGTACCAAAAACACAGAATTATACACTTGAAATGGGTAAATTTTACTGTTTGTGAATTATGTTTCAATAAAAATTCCCTCTTTAAAAATTTTTTCCCCCAAATAAAATGATAAATAAATGATTGAATATTGCATAAAGTCACATACATTGTAAAATGATATTACAAGTTTGGATGAATTGTAATTTGGTAAAATTACAGTCTCCTATTTCAAGAGATGTCTATATTTAAAAAATATTAGGAGTGTCAAGAAAAATGAAAGGGATAAATTACTTATAAGTAGTAATTAATACCTGATTTTCTGAGCGATTTCAGTTTACTGTCTTTAAATACATAAAAACATGCATAACCAATTCATATGGAGAAATCTAGTTTCTTTTGAAATAATCTTTTTTTAAAAAGATAAATGTATTATATGAAAACATGCTCAAAGTCATTGATCATCTAAGAGATACAAATCAAAACGATAATGAAGTACCATCTCACACCTGTCAGAATGGCTATCATCAACAAATTAACAAATGACAAGTGCTGGAGAGCATGCGGAGAAAAAGGAACCCTCTTGCACTGCTGGTGGGAATGCAGACGGGTACAGTCACTGTGGAAAACGGTATGAAGTTTCCTTAAAATTAAAAATGGAATTCCCATTTGACCCAGTAACCCCACTTCTAGGAATATATCCCAAGAAAACAGAAACACCAATCAGAAAGGATATATGCACCCCTATGTACATAGCAGCAC